AAAATAAACCAGATAAATAGGAAGAACAGATAAGCTCAAATAACTCCCCAAATTATCTATTCTGTTGCTTCAAAAATATTTTAGTACATATGCTTATTTTTTTAAAGAGCAGAATATATTTGAGGGAAAGAAAGAGGGACAGAAGGGGGCTAAAGGAGTTGCCCCTACATATGCTAATTTGTTTCATTTATACCACTACAATAGTTTCTCTTAGTTCACTGAAGAGAAAATTTTATGCTTTTATCTATTTCTCCTTTGTAAGAGAGTCTTATTGTCTGTGACTTGTAGTCTGAGTAGCATTTTGGCTATTCTTTTAACATTATGATATCCAATATATTAACCATTTTTACTCTCGTTATATTGTTATAAAATTTTCTTTTTTCATAGAAGAGTGTTTTTATATTTTCTTTATTAAATCTACTTGTTTTACATTTAAAAAGAAAATAGGGGTTGGGGATTTAGCTCAGCGGCACAGCACTGCCTGGCAAGTGCGAGGTCGTGAGTTCGATTCCCAGTACCGGAAAAAAAAACAAAATAACAACAAGAACAACAAAAAAAAGTTATAAAACGATAATAAACACTGATTCACAAAATACAGTGATAAAATATGCAACAGAATCAACCATGCTTTTGAAACAGAAAACATCATAGTTGCCTTTACATATCTGAGTTCCACACCTGCAGATTCTACCAGTCTCAGATAGAAAATATTTAAACATTTGTATCCTTTTTTTTTTTTGTCTTTTTGAGACAGGGTTTCACTATGCAGTTCAGGTTGGCCTTGAGCTCACTATGTAGCTCAGGCTGCTCTCAAACTCGCAATGATCCTCCTGCCTCAGCCTCCCAAGTGCTGAGATTATAGGCGCTCGCCACCACTTCTGGCAAAAATTTGTATCTATATGCAATACTTATAGATTTGTCTTACTCTCTAAATGATATAACTATTTACATAGTATTTACATTGCATTAGTTATAAGTAATCTAGAGATGATTTCAAGAACACAGGAGGATATCTGTAAGTTATCTGCAAATATCATAACATTTTACAAAAGTGCATGTCTTGTGGGTGTCTTGGAGCCAATCCCCCCACCGATAAAAGACAAAAAAAAAAAAAAACCCAAATATTTGATGCAGATTATGGAGGAAATTGCGGGGATAAGTGGCCAATTTTTTTTTTTTTTTTGTCTTTTTGAGACAAGGTCTCACTATGCAGTTCAGGCTGGCCTTGAGCTCACTTTGTAGACCAGACTGACTTTGAACTTGCAACAATTCTCCTGCCTCAGCCTCCTGAGTGCTGAGATTACAGGTGTGCGCCACCATGACTGGCTGTGGACAATATAATTAAAGGAAATAATTACAGGATAGTTTACAAGTAGACTAGTGTGTATTATCTTATACTCACTATTTTGAGATTTCATAATTACCCCTCAAATTAGATATGCCTTACGACTCTCATCTGGATCCATAATTTAAAGGTATAGCATATTATTTCAAACACAGGCATTTCACAGATTCCAACTGAACTATTAAATCTTTTTTTTTTTTTTTTTTTTTGGTACTGGGAATCGAACTCATGACCTTGCATTTGCTAAGCAGGCGCTGTGCCGCTGAGCTAAATCCCCAGCCCCTTAACTATTAAATCTTGAGTAAGTACTTTTCACATCCTCTAAAATGCAGGATCAGCCATGGTAAGATAGCATGACAAACATATAACCCCGGTTGTCTATAGTATCCTATATATTAATACTTTTCATATTATTGGCTTAGTTTAACTTTAGGATGGTACTGGAAATTTTATTTTATGTTTTTGTCTCTTTGAGACAAGGTGTCACTATGCAGTTCAGGTTGGTCTTGAACTCACAACAATCCTCCTGCCTCAAGCCTCCCGAGAGCTGGGATTACAGGCCTGCACCACCACGCCTGGTTGAAATTTTATTTTTGATACTTTTTCATTAGGTAGACTAATGGGTATGAGAACAGGAAAGGGGAGGAGTAATACATAAATAATAACTCAAAACAGAAGTCTGCAGGACAGGAGACTTCTTAGTTAACCTGCTTTATCTAGGCAGTCTTCCTGCATGAGTCAGAGTTGGTCTGAGAATCACATAGAAATAGGTAATAAAGGACTTTTTCTTAGCCTTGTGGTATAATAAGAGAAAAAAGTGATGACTAAAACTCTTTGGAGTCACTGGTTTGATGTATGATTTAGGTATAACTTTCGTTTTTCACACATGCTAAGTACCTTAGGACATTAAAATTATTTTGGGCTGAATTTTGCTTTGATATATGTTTGAGATTCCACCACCGTCCTTTTATACTGTAAACCAGGCACTAAGGACTTTACCCATATTAACTCGTTTAACTCTTTCAACAATGCTATCAGATTGTCCTCATTTTATTGATGAAGAAACTGAGGTAGTCAGAGGTTGGTAAAAAAGTGGAATTTGAAGGCAGGCATTCTGATTCTAGAATTTTTGAACTGATTGATTCATTGAGGCAGGGTCTCACTATATTGTTTTGGTTGTCCTCAAAATCCTGGACTCCAGTGATCATACCTCAACCTCTTGTCCTGGGATTACAGGCATGTGCTGACATGCCTGGTTTTGGAATACATATTCTTAATGCACAGCTAGACTGTGCTGCTCTCAGAAAAAAAGGAAGAGGACAGCATCAGTTCTGGAACTTTCTTAGGCTTCTTCACCTACAAACTTATAAACTATGGTATGCTATTTAGCTGTTTATTTATTTGTGACAGGGTCTCACTTTATAGTACAGGCTTGCCTTAAGCTCACTATGTAAGCTCAGGCTGGCCTTGAACTAGTGGCTATCCTGCCTCCCAAGTGCTGGGATTTCAGGGGTGCGACACCACACCATTTGGTCTGTTTTTAATGTGACATATGAAGACGATTATCTCCTCTTGTACTTCATCCTACTGTTTAATCCTTTGGTTTTCCTATAACAATAGTTATTTTTTCTAGTTAAAAATGTGGCTGATCTCAGCCTTTTCTTTTAAAAACCTAAAGCATTTGCTACGTAAAAACCAATTGCATAGTTCAGTCACATTAATTTAGTCAGCCTGCTCAGTTACAAGTCCGCTTTGACAAATAAATCCACTATGATTTTTTTTTTTTTTTTTTTTTTTTTTTTTTTGAGACAGGGTCTTGCTATGCAGCTCAGGCTGGCCTTGAGCTCACTTTATAGCCCAGGTTGGTCTCGAACCCGCAACGATCCTCCTGCCTCAGCCTCCCAAGTGCTGGAATTACAGGCGTGCGCCACCATGCCCGGCTCCTCCACTATGATTTTAAAGTTAATAATCCAAGATAAAGATGATTTTCGGCCGGGTGTGGTGGTGCACAACTTTAACCCCGGCACACGGGAGGCTGAAGCATGAGGATCCTTGCGAGTTCAAGGCCAGCCTAGGCTACAAAGTGAGTTTAAGACCAGCCTGAACTGCACAGTGACACCCTATCTCAAAAAAAAAATTTTTTTTTAGGCTTTGAAGAATACGAAGGACATATCTCAGAGCTATGCACCGGACTTGGTGTGCTACTGTTCATTAAATTACAGCACTTTAAGGAGCGTTCAGAAGTGGGTAATACACTAACTTTTACCAGCGGTCACAAGAGCTGTCATAACTGATAGGCACCTTTTTACTCTCCTTACACTTGATAGTATGAAAAACTGGGAAAACTATGTCTTTCCAAATCACCAAGGATGGGGAATAGCACTGGAGAGAAAGTTCTGCGGGGCTATTTTTCCACGTTCATGTTCTAGACACGCTGTACAAAAGCAATCAAGCCATCTAAGCATTCCCTGGTCACACCTCCTCAGACTCTCTGGAAGAGCACAGATCACAGCCAGAATCACGTTACTGTTCTGCACATAACAGGCTTCAATTTCTTGAAAATCCACGGCACGCTAACTACTTGGGTGCCCATCTGCCTTCTACCGCCTCCCCCAGAGCCGCTCTCCGCTCAGCCTTTGCGCCTCCCTCGACCGAGCCCTGCTGGGCTCCCCAGTCTCCACCCCGCACGTCAGCCTCTTCACCTGGAGGCCACTTTAGAGGGAAGACAGGCAGAGGGAGCGAGCGAGCGGGCGCAATGGTCAACTCCTCCTCAAACTGCGGCCCCCGCGCGGGCCTCACCCCTCCTCCCGGGGGCTGAGACTGGAGAGGAAGTGGGAAGGTTCCGATCTCCCCTCATCCAGCGCCCTCATGCCCCCACCCTTCTCCTCGGCTCGGGGCGGCGGCGCGCCTCGTCCCCGCCCCTCGCCGCCGGAGAGGAGCGGGCGGCGCGGGACGGCTCACGGAGAAAGGCGCGGGTCAGGCGAAGGCCTCGGCCCCGAAGCCACGTCCTTCGCAGCCGGAGACCCCAGCCACTCGCCCGCCGGCGAGCGAGGGCCCAGGACCGCCTCGGAGACGGCGGGGGCCGGAAGCGCGCTCGCGTCACTTCCGGGCGGTGCAGCGGCGGCCGCTTGGAAGATGGCTGCGCCCTGTGGCTCGGAGCTGCCCGCCAACTCGCCGCTAAAAATCCCGAAGATGGAGGTGCTCTCCCCGGCTTCTCCTGGTGGCCTGAGCGACGGAAACCCATCGCTGTCCGACCCTTCCACGCCTCGGGGTGCCTCCCCGCTCGGGCCGGGCAGTGCGGCGGGCTCGGGGGCAGCGGCGTCCGGGGGTCTCGGGCTGGGGCTGGGGGGCCGCAGCGCCGCCTCGTCCTCGGTCTCCTTCTCCCCTGGTGGCGGCGGTGGCGGGGCTGCGGCAGCCGCCGCCGCCGCCTGCCGGGGCATGTCGTGGACGCCGGCCGAGACGAACGCCCTCATCGCAGTGTGGGGCAACGAGCGGCTGGTGGAGGCGCGGTACCAGCAGCTGGAGGGAGCCGGCACGGTGTTCGGCAGCAAGGCCCCCGGGCCGGCCATGTACGAGCGCGTGTCCCGGGCCCTGGCCGAGCTGGGCTACGAGCGGACCCCGTCCCAGTGCCGGGAGCGCATCAAGGTAACCGGCCGCCCGGCCTGGGGCAGCGAACCAAAAGCTGAGCAGCGGGGAAGCGGGCCTCGGGGGCGGGGGCCGGTCTGAGCGCAGGGCTCCCCTCCGGGGCCCGGTGGGCGACTCGCATCTCCGCCTTTATCTTCTCTCCCTGGGAAGAGGGCTTTTTTCCTTATGGCCGCCAGCCCGTAGGTTTCCTGAGTTTGAAGTTGGGCGTGCCTGCCGCCGCCCCTTTTTCTTGCCAATGGAGGCTGTTCTGCGCTCTGAAGTTGCTAGTTGCTCATTGTGCGCGGTGCGGCTGTCCCCGCGCCGCTGGCGCGTCTCGCCCGAGCCGCCGGGCCCGACGCTTTGTTCCACGCAGAGGGGCTCCCAGGCGGAGGCTTGCCAGCTGGGGCGGGGTTGAGGAAGGGCAAAACGGGGGCCGTTGAGCCCCCAGTTAGAAATTTTCCGTAGGTGGTGGATCCTTGCAGAAAGCGCCTTGGAAGGGCTGGCCTTTGTGTCGGACCCTTTGGTTCTAACTTGAGGTGCGAAGGGTGAGTGAGATTTGGGATGTTTTGGAGAGTTGGAAAGCTTGATTTTAGCTAGGTTGTGTATTGTTGTCGTGGAGGTAGTGGGCACCTTGAAAATTAGCCAGGCTGAGAGTTGTTCTGGAATTTGGGTCGTCGGCCTCTACAGAATTCTGTTGGCTTGAGCTCTGCTGTTTCTGACAAGTCCCTTGAAAGCCAGTTTACTGTGCTGTAGTCACTGTGCCAGATGTGATGACGAGTAAACCTCTTTGCATCTGGCTGTCCTCGTGAATCTGCACGTTTAATGCAGATGCTTGATGTGAGCTCCTGACTTTTATCTAGGCATTTGTATTATTGGCAGATAAAAGAGTTGTATTTTAGTTAAGTTCTTGGCCTCCTCGTAACATCTGCGGAAAGATTTAGACAGGATTCTCCTAGTTTTCACTGAAAATACTTCTATTACTTAGTCATAGTCTCTGCATACTTTCCTGGTAGGGCTGGCATTTTTTCTGGGAACTCCTGGGGGTGGGGTTAAAAATCATTAAAACAGTTTTAAGTAAGCGCAATCTCATAAAAGAACAACCAGAATCCAGTAAGAACAATAAGAGTACTCACACCAAGGGAAAGGTTTGCCAGAGTTATGAGGTCCTGGCTCCATAGTGTTCATTTGCCCACTTTGTTACTTAGAAATTTGGTCCAGAGCATACTAGCCGCTGTGGGAGAAACTTCAGACGCAGTAACTGCTGTGGAAGAAACGTCACCCATTACAAAATTAAATTAGTTTTTTGATGTCATATGCCTTGTGGCTTCATATGTATCCCGTTTTTTAAAGAAAAATGTTATTAAAGTAGTAGCTAAGAGGGAAAAGCTATTCTATGAATTTCAGTCATTGTTCTATTCAAGGTCGTTAAGGATAAATTTTTCGTAGAGCTTTCGCACTGCTCTGGGTAGCACCCAGCCGTAAACATTTCTTGAGTTTAGAACTTTTTTTTTTAGCGCGTTTTAGGCATGTGTAACTGTTTTAGTTTGCTTAATTTTTGTCCATAGAAATTTCCCAAATTGTGCCTGGGTGCACACCTGAAATCTCAGCACTCAAAGGTCGAAGGAGTTGGTAGGCCACCCTGCACCACACAGACAGGCTCTCTTGAAAAAAACTAAAATAAAAAAAGGAAAAAAAACAAAGACATTATCAGAGGGAAAAAGTATGCTCATTGAATTAATTAATTCATTTATGTCTTTTTTTTGTTTTTGTTTTTGGTCCTTTTGAGACAGGGTTTCACTATGCAGTTCAGGCTGGCCTTGAGCTCACTTTGTAGCCCAGGCTGGTCTTGAAGTCCTCCTGCCTCAGCCTCCCAAGTGCTGGGAATACAGGTGTGCACCACCACACCAGTGCTCATTAAATTTAATCTCTCCATAAAATTGTTTCTCAAACAACCCGGAGATAGCTAGTTAGCTTGCTTCATTCTCCAGTTATGAGAAGGAAACCTAAACCAAAGAAGGGAGATTAGGCCTCTGAAAAAATCTTTTTTTAAAAAAGTGGTTCAGTTTACCTGTCTCAGACAGGTAAGATCAAGTTGAACTCAGACTCCTAGCATATTTTGATAATATGCAGTTGATGCTTCTGGGATCTCTGATCCACAGTAGTGGGTGTTAAGAAGGAGGGCAGCTAACAGTTGTTTTTTTGAAGTGCTCTACTCTTTAAATGATTTTAGTTAGGAAACCTGTACTTTGTTAATGTTGTTCTTTCCTGCCATATTTATTATGCTCTTGAGGTTTTGATCTGGCTTAATTCATTAACATACTTGTTAAATTCATCAAATGAAGTCCAGAAAGATAATTTTATAAGTATAAAAATCTACAACAGTGCTCTTGACACTTTGGAACATAGACTTTGGAACACAGTTTGAAAAATACTACTTTAAAGCTAAACTCTGAGCTAGGTGGGCATGGTGGCACATGCTTGTAATCCCAGCATTTGGGAAGATGAGGCAGGAGGACTGATGGGAGTTCAAGGTCAACCTAGGCTATGTAGTGAGTTTGAGAGTTCAAGGCCAGTGTAAACTACATTATCAAGATCCTGTCTCAAAAAATAAAAATAAAGCTCTGCCCCTTAAGAAGACTTAGTGTGAATATGATATTAAACATAGAAGCAAGTTGGGCTTGGTGGCCTACTTCTATAATCACAGTGCTTGGGAGGCTGAAGCAGGAGGATCTCCGAGTTCAAGGCCAACCTGGGCTACACAGTGAGTATAAGGCCAGCCTGAACTGCATAGCAAGACCTGTCTCAAATAACTGGAGAAAAAAATAGAAGCAAATGTGGTCACTTGAAATCACACCCTTATGTAACTATGAGGTGGCTGTTCAAGTAACACAAATTATGTGTATGAAGATAAAAATACAACCTTAAATTCTCAGAGTCTGAAGCCCTGAAAACAAATCCTTAGATCCTAGTTTCAGAAATACTGATTTTTAGAACAAGTGATTTAGGAATCTCTCACTTTATTATATTGATGAGAACTGCCAAAAGAAATTCAATAATGCTTTTTGCTGTAATTTTACAAAATGGAAAGTAGTTCAGTAAGATGCAAAAAAATAAACTTCTTGAACAGATTTGTGTAGCTCACTAAAATGTGAATTTGGGGCTAGGGATGTAGTTCAGTATAGCAGGAACAAGGCTCTGAGTTCAGTTCCTAGCTCTCAGAACAAAACAGCCAACAAACAGCCGAGCTTCTTCACCAACACCTGTAATGTTAGCACTCTGGGAGGAGGACGGCAGATTCAAACCCAGCCTGGTCAGTTTATCAGTTTAGCATGACGCTGTCTCAAATTAAAAAATAAAGCTGCACATGGTGGCGCATGCCTCGGATCCTTGGGAGGCTGAGGCAAGTTGATCGCTGCTTGAGTTTGAGGCCAGCCTGAATTACATATGAGACTGTCTCCAAAAAATAAAATTAAAATTAAAAACATTTTAAAAAGGGGGTGCTGAAGAGGTACCACAAGCCCTTGGTTCTGGAGTTTAGTGTAAGTGTCTTTCAGGGAGGAAAATACCATGTGACTCATTTATGTTTCTGGTCTAGTATATTTGGTGGTCCTATGAAAAAATTTAATTATGAAAAATCATTAGATAATTTGTTCTAAGTTTTTTGTGTGCCGGGAATCGAACTCAGAACCTTGCGCTTGAGACGCTTATGCCACTGAGCTATATCCCTTGCCCCAGTTTGTTCTAAGTTTGAAAGGAAGTGATAAGCAGTAACCAGGTTTGCCCAGTGGACTTCACCTCACATGAAGGTATCAGAAGGCTGAGTCTTCTACCAGCCCTTTTCACAGTGACCCTTCTGAGCATCTAGCCTTAAAGCACATCATGTCCCTTCTCAGGATGGTACCTGTCATTATATAATGAAGTAAAATTGTTAATACAAAAATTGAATTAAGGACAGCCGTTGAGGTGCACACAGGAGAATCATTATGAGTTCAGGGCCAGCCTGAACTGCATAGTGAAACCCTGTCTCAAAAAGACAAAAGAAAAGAAAAGAAAAATTGAATTAATAACTCAGATTTTGATACTAAAGTCCTTTTTGATGTGGTTGAATTTTTTTTTTCTGGTACTGGGAATCGAACTCCCGACCTTGCACTTGCCAGGCAGGCGCTGTGCCGCTGAGCTAAATCCCCAGCCCCGCTAAAGTCCTTTTTTAATACTGTTGGCATGACTATAAGCATTCAAGATTTTAATTGAGAGTCAGATACAAACCTTTGTTTAGTGCCTCAGAGTTTCATTTTGATGTCTGTCGTGTTATTGGTGTTCTGTCTTTTGGATAAAATGGATGTGTTTGGCTCTGCCTTGTTACATAGATTGTTGTTTAGTCTGAAGTTTTGTTGTGTTTCTGTTTGCCAGAAGACAATTTGTCTGTTAACAGTTCCAGCCTAGTTTTGGGGTCAGATAAACAAATCTGGAAGTTTTTTTTCTAGTGTTTGCATGGTTTTTCTCCTGTAGACCTTCTGCATAGGAGAACTGCTAATGTATAGTTCCTACAAGAGTTTACAGTCCAGCTAAAGCTTGTAAACACACATCAGAGAGTTAGAAAAAAAGGGTATAAAACAATACAAGGAATGGTATGCAGGGCGTTACTTAAGGGTTACATGAGTAAATACTGTAAGTGTGATGACTTAAAAGTTGGGCATGATCTCATCATTGTCCATACTGGAGTAGTTGAAAGATCTGTCTGGACTGGGAAATTATGAAGTATTCACTTCTGAGCCAGATGCTACATTCACACTTCAATCATTTAATCTGCTACACTGCAAAACTCATTCTTATATCTCTCCCATATTTTGAGTGTTCTCCAAAAATTTGCCTCTTAAGAGTTAGCTTTAGGTTTTTGAATGTGACATGTACTAGCTCTGCTTCAAGATGAAATGCAAGGTGATTGTGTATGACCCAAAAAATTTGCCTTTACCAGACAAGGTGCACACCTGTTAATCCAAACAGCCTGGGAGCCTGGATCATGCTTTTGAGAGCAGCCTGGGCAATTTAGTGATTTACCAAGACCCTGTCTAAAAAAAAAGAGAGAAACAGAAAAGAAAAGATAAGCCAGGTGTGGTGGCACACACCTATAATCCCAGCACTTGGGGAGGCTTAGGCAGGAGGATCATTGCGAGTTCCAGACCAGCCTGGGCTACAAAGTGAACTCAAGGCCAGCCTGAAATGCACAGTGAGACCCTGTCTCAAAAAGACCAAAAAAAAAAAAAAAAAGGAGAGGGAGTAAGAAGAGGGTGGGAGTGAGGATATAGCTCAATGCAAAAGCCCTGAGTTAAATCCCTAGTATCACAACAAACAAAAACCTTACCTTTTTTGGCATTTGCTTATCATATATATTTAATTATATCTTTGGCTTAACAAAATGATTATTTTCTATGGGCACTGTTTAGGTTTATTTAGTCACTGTCGTTATCATTGAAACAAATTTTGTACTTGAACACACAAATCACAATACATAGTTATTTGTTTTTCATTTTAGTTTAAGCCTTCTGGTTTGTAAGAATCAGTAGTGGAGAGATAGCCTGGAGCCAAAAGATACCTTTGTCCTGGTGTAAGCATTTGAATAGACTCTGCTCAGCATTGAGGACTTTAGATGTTTGCAGACTAGACTTCTGCATTATCATTGAAACATGTGGTAAGCCATTCAACTAGTTCCTAAGAAAGACTTGGTCAGATCTTTTCCCAGCTTCTGTTGTTTTCATCCCTATTGTTTGGAAGGTTGTGAGTTCCAGCTTTGTTTGCTTAAAAATTTGATAGAGGTTTGGTATGTATTTTAGGAGAACCGGCCATCTTTGACTGGTGACTATACACTTTTTTTTTTTTTTTTTTTGGTCTTTTTGAGACAGGGTCTCGTTCTGCAGTTCAAGCTGGATGTGAGCTCACTTTGTAGCCCAGGCTGGCCTTGAACTCGAAACAATCCTCTTGCCTCAGCCTCCTGAGTGCTGGGATTACAGGCGTGTGCTACCACACCTGGCTGACTATAATATTTTGGCTTGCTGTTTTGGAAGAGATCCTAACAAGGTCTTGCTCAAACTGAATGAATAGGATTTTAAATTTATTTCCTACCATTTTGAGAGTGGAGTTATATTTTCTGGATACTTCATTGAGATAAAATATAAAGGGAAAAATAATTTAGAAAGCATGATGTATAAACAGTGCCATTCAATAAAAGTTTCTGTGATGATAGAAATGTTCTTTAGGTCAGTTCATGTTATTGTGCCCTTGAACTGTGGCTAGTTTGCCTGAAAACTGAATTCTTAGTTTTATTTAATTTCAATTAATCTGATTTAAAATTTTAAGTAGCCACATGTAGCTAGTGGTCACCATATTGATCACTTCGTAGGAAAAGTTGTATATTAGTCTTTATTTTGTAAAAAGGATTCTCTTGGATACATATTCAGACCTCTAGGGGGAGCTGTGGATTCCTTCTTACTCTTACTACCTTGGTAGAAGTCAAGAAAAATGGCTTTAGTACAAGGAATAAAAGTATTATAGCCTCAACTGGCAGAGGCTGGCAGTGTATATGTTCTTGGTTCTGTAGGACATTGCTGTCCAATAGAACTTTCTGTAGTAATGGAAGTGTTCTGTATTTGCTCTAATATGGTAATCAAACTATAGGTGACCATTGGCCGCTTGCTGTCTGACTAGAATGACTAACACAATTTTAATTTTATTTAGTTTTAATTAAATTTAAATAGCCACATGTAACTAGTGGCTATTGTGTTGGCCAGAACAACTTTGGCATAATGGTTTTCAAACTTATTTGTTATATACTCCAGAAAGAGTTTTGAAATCCATGTATCTTCCCAAATGTTTTTAGATTGACATTAAAATTTCACATAATGGGCCGGGGATATAGCTCAGTGGCACAAGTGCTTGTCTGGCAAGCACAAGGTCCTGAGTTTGATTCCCGGTACCAAAAAAAAAAAAAAAAAGAAAGAAACAATTTCTCATAATATATTTAAGAGCTTATAGAAGGTCAGTAGAATATAAAAATAGTCAACCTAATTTGAGATAAATAAGATGAATATGGCTATAAAATATATGCATACTATACTTTGAATCTGCAAAATCCACATAAAATTTATCAAATGTATCATGAAAATGTTGGTTATTAGGAAATAGTCTAGTAACATTTAAAAGAAACAATGTCACAAACCTAAATTGCCTTGGTCAATCTAAATTCTGGAGTCAAGCTTCATCTAAAAAAGGCAAACATATACAGAGCAGCCAAAAAAAGTACATATTAGGAAAAGAAAAACTTGTATACATATTTTTACATTAAATTTATTGAGACATTATGAGATTAATGCAAGTTACCTTTGGCCTCTACAATTACAGTAGGTGCTGAGAGTGGTGGTCATGAACCTCCAGACATGTATTAGTGTAGCAAACCGCTGAAGTGTGAGTACATTCTTCTGTCAGAGTTCATATATATATGACTGGACATGACAGGAATCCCTAAGGTTTTAAGGTGCCCTAATCACCAGTGCAGGAGGCATATGGCTCACTTTGGAACTCTAAAGAACTCCAAGCTTTGGATCTTTGGAATATCTTTCCTGGCTGATACAGTGGGACTCGGCCCTTGTATTCTTCTGTTATTGGAAATCCCAGAACCAGGAGGATTAAAATGGAAAGGGAGGAGCTTAGCTCTTGGCTAAAGTCCAGGTGTCCTGGTGGTGGAGGGTAATGTGGATGGATATCTTGCCCATTTCCCCTTATTAGATTTAACTAGTAGGTGCATCACATGCTTCCTTTAAAATAATAAGATCTGAAATAAAGACTTGTTTTTTCAATATTCAACAAATATTTTTGCCTCCTGTGATAGGCTCGAGAAATACAGCCATGAACCATTTACCTTTAAGGTGTCTGCCTTGCCACGAAGGAGTCAGGTTGAAAGGACTAGTTACACATTGTGGACAAGGCTGTGTGTCTTGCTGATGTGAAGTTTGTGATCCTTCAGGAGTACATATCATTCTAGGTTCTCAGGAAGCTGGATCCTGGAGCTGAAGTAGCACTTAACTGGCAGAAGTCAGTAGGGTAGGTGAGCAAGCAGCTGGTTTAGAGCTCAGGCAGCAGAACCCTCAATAGTGCAAACTGCAGGGTGTGGTTTTTTGTTGTTTTTTTTTTTTGGTACCAGGAGTCGAACCCAGGGCCTTGCACTTGCCAGGCAAGTGCTGTACCACTGAGCTACTTACTTCCTGGCCCTGTATAGTACAAACTGCAAATGCAGTAAAATGTATTTCTCCATGAGCCTCGACTATAAGCATCCAAATAGTGAAATTGTTTCAAAAATTCTTAGTGATCAGTTGTTTAAAAAGTCATCTCTTGTTGGGTATGCTGGCACATGACTGTAATCCCAGCACTAGGGAGGCTGAGGCAGAACGACCACTGCATATTCAAGGTTAGCTTGGGCTACGCAGAGTTCAAGGCCAGCTTGAACTATATAGTGAGACCCTGTCTCAAAAGAAAAAAAAAAAAATAATGCCTTTTTACTAACCAACAATTTACTGTAATGCATGGCAAATGGTGAGTTAAAAGCTACAGATGATAGGTTGGTGGTTTCATAAAGATTCATATAAGAAGGTGATTCATATAAGAAGATTCATGTAAGTTTGGGATGACAATATGTGGATATATCAATTCTAGGTAATGTTTGCTAATTTTTTAGTGTTGAGCTGGACTTGTACAAATACCTAATATATTTCTCATTCTTTAATATATATACTAGAAAGAAGAAACCAAACTGCATCTTTTTAAGACTACAACCCACAAAAGGTATATGTTTACCCTGGGACATAGTATTTTAATGACATAACATATATGTAAAACTGCAATAAATCACCAGGCATGGTGGCGCACACCTATAAAACCAGCACTGTGGTAGGCTGAGACAGGAGGACTGAAAGCTCAAGACCCATTTGGGCATTTTGTGACTTAGCAGGACCCTGTTCCAAAATAAAGGGACACTGCAAGTTCAATCCCCAGTACCGAAAAAGATAGAGATCACTTATGTAACATTTACTGTGTGCCATACCTGGTCCTAAGTGCTTTATAAATATTATTTAACCACACTATGGCTCTATAGCTAATTACATGCAATACACTATTGTATTTGAACACAGGCAGTCCAGCTCCAGAGCCTCTTTAGTGTAACAGTATGTGATACAGGAAAGCACCCGTCCCAGCGCCTGCACCTGGCAGGCCATCTTCCTCGCCTCTCCTCTTGCTCCTCCCTATCCCTTTCCAGCATTTCTTCCCCCTTCCGCCCCAGTCCTGCAGCACCACTCTTCCACCCCTTCTCCAGCCACAGCCTGAGTGTTTCCAGAAACTCCCTCACCTAAAACCGGTGCAAAGAAAACCTGGGCCAGTGGGGGCAGCCGCTCCCACTGGTACTGAGCCGAAGGGTCACTCCTTGGGGACTGGCAGCTCAGGGTCACGTTGGCCCCCACCCGGGGCACACCCAGGAGACTGCAGGATGGAGTCGCTGGAGGAACTGAGGAAGGGAAAACAGGTTAAAACCCACACCGTGAGACAGGAGGGACCCACACACACCCCATGTGTCACTGGATGTCCTGCCCCGTCCTTGCCCCTTGGGAGAGAGACCCACCTGAACTCCTGTGGGGTGGGAAGGGATCTGGAAGTGTGTGCTTCTCACTCACCCAGCACGCTGAGTTCCACAGTTTTGCTGTCATGGCCCTTGTTTTGCACATTCACGGAGCAGCTGTAGGAGCCAGAGTCTTTTTCCTGGAGGCCCTGCAGCTTCAGGGACACGTTCCGGGAGGGCATGGAGTAGACCAGGGATACTCCAGGGTTGCCTGACACGGTACCATTGATGTAGGCCAACACCTGGTGGGGTTAGGACACGTCCTTGTTACTCCATGTGCCCTGTGTTCACAGTTCAGCCTGTCTCCTTTCCAGAACTAGCCTTCTTCATGTGACGCTCAGTATTCAGCCCTCTCCCCAGCAGCCCCTCACTGCGCTGAGGTCTCTACATCAGCATGGTTTTTGTTCCCTTATCTACTGCCAGTTCATTTCCCACTGGGGTTTCAGAAGGGGATCACAACTCACTAGAATTGATTTCTCCACCCTCTAATGGACCATAAACTACAGCTGATAAGAGCACTAGAAGATACTAAAGTGAGATCAAGATGTTTTCAATCATTGTGGTCATTTAGACATAGGAAACCAAAACTCCAGAAACATCATTAATTTGTAATAACTCGTCCCAGATACTCCTCTGAAATGCTTTATTCTTTGTTGCCCTGGGTAGTTGGAGCCTAGGGTTTGAGTGTAAAAGGCAAAGAAAATAGGCTGTAAGAAGAAATGAGACTGGAGACATAAACAGGAGGTCAAGTGGAAGTAAGGAGTTTGGAATTTAGTCATCAAGGGATTTTAGGCTGGTAGTGATAAGATTAGGCTTAAATTTTAGAGCAGTCACTGGCTGTAATGTGCGGAATGGAAAGGGTACAACTAGAAGCACAAAGATTAGAAGTTTCTTGCAGTGGCTGGATGCAAGGTGCAGGTAGTGGCTGTGAGGCTGGAGAGGAGGATGTTTTATGCATATCACAGTCAGGCTGTCTAAAGAATCTGGACATTTTCATTTACATGATTTGTTAGATCTTAATTTATGATGTAATTTGCCATCTACTTTACCAACTAACACAAGATTCCTTGCTGTAATCAATACAAATCTTCACAGTGTCTTCCTAGCTTACATTTTTAGGATTCATTTCTTAGAACCTAATGAAGTGTAAGTAGAACAGTGTATGGGCAGTCTGATCTGTTGACTGCATGTTTTCTACAGACTTCTGCTCTGGTCTGCTCCTCAGTATCCAGAAATGATTATACTACATTATTTTTCCTTCTTAACATTATCAAAGGTGAAGAGCTAAAATTCAGATCTAAAAGTTCAGATATTAGTTATTGTAGTTACCCTGAATTGGGCTTCTATTATTAGGCTCAAGTAGAATAGCAGTTTTCCCCCCTTGGAAAGCTACATCTGTAATGTTTACAAATGAAATAAAATGGGGTGAACACTTTTTGAATTTGATAAAGTAGTATTGTAAAGTGCTTTAAACTTTAAACATTTGATTGTTAGGATTCCAGTAAATTAGGCACGCTTTCATTTTTTTCCCCGTTGTGGGGCCCATATACTGTGTCGTTTTCTGCTTCCTTGTCACCAGTGCAGAAACTTCAGCCAGTGTTTAAGATGAATTCATAATTCTTTGCCTCAGATGCCTAAGTTGTAATTTATCTGGGGTTTATAATGTGTGGAGTTTTTCTCTTGTTCTTCTAAATACGTAATTGAAAGATGTCTGCATTCAGGAAGAGATATTTAAATTAAATCTATATAATTCTCACCTACTTGAGTTGAGACAGTCCTTGAGAGCCAGTGGAAATACTTTTTTCTTGGCATTATGTGAGTATAATCCCAGCACTTGGGAGGCTGAGGCAGGAGGATCATTGCAAGTTCGAGGCCAGCCTGGGCTACACAGTGAGCTCAAGGCCAGCCTGAACTGCATAGCGAGACCCTGTCTCAAAAAGACAAAAAAAAAAAAAAAAAAAAAAAAAATTCATTTATCTGAATAATCTAATTGTTTCCAATTGATGTTAGTACAACTAGAACAAAAGTTCATACTTACCCAAAACTGCTTTTTTAAAAAAATTGGAACTAACTTTTCTCTAATGGAATAATCTGCTTTATGATTTAGAAAGAATACAATAGATCAGAAAGTACCTTGACCTTATATTTGGTATCTCAACAGCCTATACACAATGTTAAGGTTTTTTATCCACTCAGTTATTCATTTCTTCATCAAAATTTATTGAGAGCTGGGTGTGGTGGCACATACCTGAAATCCCAGCACTCTTGGAGGTTGAGGCAAAGAGGTCACAAGTTTGAGCCCAGCCCGGACAGTTTAGCTACTTATCAAGATGCTGTCTCGAAAATAAAAAATCAGAAAGCTTTGGGGCTGTAGCTTAGAGTAAAGGCCCTGGGTTACTGTGCTTAACCCAAGTACTGAAAAAAAAAGGGAAGAAAATAATGATGTTTAAGATTCGTAATTCAAGACAGTTAACATAATGAAGACAAAAGCTCTTCAAATATGATATTCTTTGATAAAGCCTTATTGGCCTTAGAAGTTTGAGTGCTACAGCTTTCATTATGTATAAGAAATAGAAATTTGTCAGGCATGGTGGTACACTTCTGTAATCCTACCACCCAGTACTAGGGAGACTGAGTGAGGTAGGATCCATGCGAGTTCGAGACCACCCTGGGCTACATACTGACTTCAGGGTCAGCCTTAACCACCAAGCAAGACCCTATCTCAAAAAAAAAATCAATTTTGTTTTATGAATGATTTACATAATTTGTTATTATTCTTTTGTATGGTGTATATCTAACTGTCCTGGAGGTTTGTACTACTAGACGGCAGAGTGCTGCATTATTACTCTTCGTTCAGTGACTAGGTTATGAGCACCTCCTCTTGACCCGAGCACTGTGCAGGGTCCCAAAGGTAGTTTTGAGCCAAATAGATAATTTCCTTTCTCTCTTGTACAAATTAGGAAAATTAGGAAGCAGGCTTAATAGTTGGGTTTTTGAGACATTGGAGTTGTCACAATTTTAAAACAGTATAAAGTACTTTTTTCTTTATACTGTATATGTAATATAATCATGCTACTAAATTAAGAGGAAAAATCAAAGGAAAAATTTTAACTTCATTACAGCATTTTCATAAAATGTTTTGATATATTTCAAAAAGTGATAGTGATGAATACAATTTTAATTTCAGTATACTTCCATGCACCAAAAAGAATGAGAGATCTACATGCCTTTTGTTCTCTCAGACTCCCAAGCATATATAAAGGTCACTTATGCCTCTTATTGTCTTCATGTAGAGTTTTGCCTGCCTCCTGCTTCTTATAAATAGGTTGCGTGGTGAGTGAAGCTTAATTCTCTGGGCTGGTAGTTAGGGTCCTTTTCCCCATTGATTTAGGTGTTAGTGAGTCATTATATTTGTGCCAACACTAAAAACTGTTGACAATGATTAACTGATTGGCTTTTAGCTATAAAAGAGGAACTGAATAAAGCTTAAAAAAACATAATGATATAGCTAGTTGTTTCTAAACTTGAATATGTGGGCAAATATGTTTATATAATGATATTTAAAACAATGCTATTTAATATATACAAATAGACATCTAGGTATAAAGTCCTTTTATCCGTGAAGCCTACATGTTATACAAAAATAGATTTTTAAAACTTTAAGTACTAACAAAATGAAAAATAAAAGTCGAGTTATTTCAGTACTTTGGTTGATATGGATTAGCATATCAACCATATTAGTTGCTTTTCCTAACATGTCTCTGATGTGGACTGCTACAATAATATCCTTTTGGGCCGTGGATATAGCTCAGCAGCACAAGCGCCTGCCTGGCAAGTGTGAGGTTCTGAGTTTGATTCCCAGTACAAAAAAAAAAAAGATTCTTTTGAGTATGTTATCCGTACATGTTATTCCCACCATGTGCCTTGTGATACAGCACTGCTTTTGTTTTTCTGTACTTACTGACCTTTATTTTTTTTAGTTTTTGTCTTTTGGAGACAGGGTCTCGCTATGCAGTTCAGGCTGGCCTTGAGCTCACTTTGTAGCCCAGGCGGCCTCGAACTCGCCAAGATCCTCCTGCCTCATCCTCCTGAGTGCTGGGATTACAGGCGCGTCTGCCACCACACCCAGCTTTTTTTTCTTTTTTTTAGACAAGGCCTCACTATGCAGTTCAGGCTGGTGTTGACCTCACTTTGTAGCCCAGGCTGACCTCAAACTCCCAATGATCCTCCTGTCTTAGTCTCCTGAGTGCTTAGTCTCCTGAGTGCTGGGATTACAGGCATGCACCACCATGCCCGGTTTAACCTTTATTTCATAAGGCCCTTTGGTCTTCATATTATGGGACTGTATCATTTTTGTAGTAATTACAATGATAGCTAATGTTTACTGAGTGCAAGCAATTAGGCAAAGTGTTAAATGCTTTATTGTTTTCTCATTTAATGCTTATAACAAGTCCAGAGTAGAAGTATTGTCGTTAGCTCTGTCTTACAGATGGAGAAATTAAAGCACAGAGATTAATTTGTCTAATATCACAGACCTTGGAGGTGGTGACTTGAGATTAAGTAGTCTTCAGAACCCCAGAGTTTATAGTGCCTCCTTATGAGTCAGCAGCCCACATTTATTTTTTTTTAATTTTTTTTGTTTTTTTTTTTACAGTACCAGGTATTGAACTCATGATCTTGTGCTTGCCAGGCAGGCGCTGTGCCACTGAGCTAAATCCCCAGCCCCAACCCACATTTATTGAATTTGACAATTAAAGTAGTGTTTTTGGCAATAAGTGTCATAAACAAGCAAATGCAATACTAAAATCATGCAGGTAGTAACACCTAGATAGACACATTATGTGTATAGTGTTTATATATATATCTCTTAACATTGAAAGTAAAACAGATTTTTAAAATTCTTGCAGAGAATTAATTATTTCCTAAGCTTATAGACACAAAGAAAAACATTGATTTGGAAGTTAAGGGAGAATATAAAAGAAGCAAAGTGAAGTCTTTATTGTAGAATTTATTTATTCAAGACTTTATAGAAGTGATGATATTTATTGGACTACCAACTCCTTGTGATGGGAGTTTGAATTCTAGCAAATGTTTACAAAGAAGTAGTAGTTTTTGACAGTAAGACCAGGTAAGCTCATGGCTTACCAAGAGAGGCTAAGGAATATGTTCATTACCTTATGTGTTGCATTGTTTGCCTAATGCAGTGGTGGTGAACCTTGTATCATTGAAAGCTCTAGAAGACTTCATCACTGGCCTAATATATAAATGGCTTGCGTATGTAGCATCTTAGAGATATAGTATAAGGGTGAGACAGACTGTTTTGTAATATATTCAAGTCACTCTCTGTATAAGGACACTGGTCAATAATGGAGCATATATGTGAAGGTAGTCCCATAAGATTTAATAGAGCTCAAAATTACCTGATCATGGCATTATAGTCTTTCTAGAGACTTACGGCAAAGCATTAATCAACACGTTTGCGGTCATGTTAGTGTAAACCTACTCTGCTGCCAGTTGCATAAAATATCGCATTTACAATTGTGGACTGTACCTAATACTTGATAATAAACAACTGTATTACTGGTTTATGTATTTGTAATATTTTTCTCATTACTTTAGCATATACTCCTAATACTTCGGGGTTTTTTGTTGTTTTTTTTTTTGGGACAGAGTCTCACTGTGCAGTTCAGGCTGGCCTTGAGCACACTTTGTAGACCAAGCTGGTCTTGAACATGTAATGATCCTCCTGCCTCAGCCTCCCGAGTGCTGGGATTACAGGTGTGCGCCACCATGCCTGGCTGTAATACTCACTTTAAAAGTTTACTATAAACAGTATGTGGTCTTATGCAGATTGTAGCCTCTTACACCTGTTTTCTCTTGATTGTATCCGGCCATGTAGAATGATCTGTATTAGGTTTGTGTAAGGTTTTTGCACAATGGCAAAACTGCCTAACAATGCATTTCTCAGAACTATCCCAGCTGTTAGGCAGTGCATAACTATATACAAAAAATGGTATCTCTATATTGAGAAAGCTCAAAATAGAATGGACAGCTCAGAATTAAATCAGAGAATGCAGGATGTATAGCTGTAATACCAGTAAATGTGGCTACTTCAGCCAATTATTTGAACAAATTATGATCTCTCCCACAACTATGGCAAAATCAATGACTTTTTGTAATTCTCAATGCCTTCTGAAGAGAGGCATGCTAAGTTATTGTTTTGAAACCTAAAATGAATTTACATTAAGGTGACCTTGGTTAAGCTCTTACCTTTCTCTTAAGAGTTTCTGTTTGCCCGAGGGAGCCGTCTTATCCCAGGTGAGGCCCTCTGTCTAGTGGCAACCAAAATCCAATGAGTGCTCAGTGCGGAAGTGCAAAGGTCCAGCCTTCTTACCTCAGTTTAAGGCAACTCGGAAGAGTCACCCAAATCCACGCCTCATTTTGGAATTAGGCCTTGCAACTGTCTGTCTTTAGTTTCTTTCTTTGTCCAGCTCTGCCTCGCAGTCTCTGTCAGCTGTAGTTCCTTAGAGCAGCTTCCATAGTAAACTTGGATACAGCCCCTGCCTCAGTCTGTTGCCTGGGATATGTTAACAGATCTCGGCACACAGCAGGTACTCAGGAAATACTAGTGATGGGTGACATGGCACATTAAGCCACACAAGGAAAATGTTTGTTTTTTGTAGAAGGTATACCACCCGCCCCCCACCAGTGGTCTCTTCTCTCAGTAAAGTTCATAAAACTGAGGAGAAAACATAAAAGTTCTACTAAATAAACTATATAAATGATGTTATGAGTGCCTAAGTAAGCTCAGGTTGCCCAAATTTATCTGGATGCCTGGAAA